TGGAAGCATATTATTATACCCAGCTCCATTGATAATGTTATTCTCTTCGTTGTTATTATTATCTGTCATTGTCATTGTTATTATTATCATCTACATAAAATTGTATAATTAAAAAATAAAAAATAATATCACCTGTCTTTTTTTTTGGCCCTCTTTGCTCTGGATTCCAACTTTTATCGCAGTTCCTACCACGTTCTAAGCATCTTTGGCAGGGAATTCCTTCGCTGCACTTCTTCCGCTCATTTTTACATTCCGAACAGGCTTTAGTTACATAGTGACCTCTTTTCATCACTGGTAAAAAAATAAATTCAACGATGGTTAAAATGATTGTTTATTTACTAAAATTTTGATTTTTCTACCCGTGTTTGTATTTGTGTATGTATTTCCAAGAAAAAAATAGGAACGAAACGGTAATAAAAAAATTTTTTCCTTGTAAATATTTTTAAAAAGAAAGTTCCTCTAGAAACCTGCTATTTATACATTTCTTTATCTATATCGGTAAAACTGTCAATATAGCGGTATTTTTTTCAATTGGTATTCTATTAATATGTCAACATAAACGTTTTTTTTTGTTCGGAATTTACTTTAATTGTCCAAATTAATATGTATATTATTGAATTGTTTGTTCAAAATAAAAAGATCAGATGAATGAATTATTTTTGCGACAAATATTCCTATAAGCCGCAGCTGCATGGATAATGCCAATCAGTAATGTGACGTGTCATTGTTGCGATTCTATTCGTTAGTTCAAAATTCCGATAATGATCATTGTTGGATGGTTGGGGCCGACAAAGTTCACCTAATTTAAGGTAAGGTTAGGTTACACAACACATATTAATATGGCAAAAAATCACAAGACCGCGATTTTAAGGTTAAAAACTCCTTGTATATATCTATAGTATGTAAAGCTATATATTGAACTACGTAGTTTTATCACAATTTTGTTAATAAAGTTATGTTATTGTTAATTAAGGAAAACTAAATGAACAGTCTTCAGTTAACCTTAATAACTATTGATTTATAAAAAAACACTAGAGTTTTATAAGAAGACAAAGCTGTACTAATAATATTTCATTTTTATATTATTATACATATATTCACACTGTTCAAAGTCTCTTGATTTTCTCTTAGAAGTTTTCTTTTGTCCGTTTCACATTTTCTCATAAATGTGGGACCTTTTACTGTGAGGTAGAATTTAAAACCTTTGCTGTAAGTTGGGAAATTTCTGTGCTGTTCAGTACTGAAATAGTGAGCGATTTTAAATTAAAATCTATATATAAATAGAAATAAGAACACATTGGTGTGAATCATCATTACCAACTACAAACACTTTACACGAGCAAACAATTCAGTAAGAACGTTTTTTGGAATGATGATCTATTTATGTTCAAGCAGTTTTCCATTATCTATAATTATCTACAAGTAATACCTTATTTTTATGTTTTACAAATCACACAAGCCATATAAATGTTTGATATGACCAGGCT